TATCGAAGAACGGAGGAGGAGGCAGGAGGGAGGAGGGAGGACGAAAGAGGAGGAGACGGAAGAGGAGAATGAGGAGGATGTGGAGGAGCCCTCTTTGGGAGGAGGGGGCGGGGCCTCCACCTTGCTCGTCGCAGGAGCACCGCGAGTGGCTCCTGCAGAGCGGGACGGCGAGGGAAATACGGGCCCGCGCCGGAACGATGTTGGCCGCTCTCAAGGCCGCCGCGGCGGTGCACGCCGAGTTCCGCAAGCGGGTGGTTGAGAAGTCGAACCAGGTTGCAGGGATGAATAGGAGGAGGTGGAGGAGGAAAAGGAGGAGAATGAGGAGGAGGAGGATCAGAGGAGGATCAGAGGAGGACCAGTGCGAACCCAACATGCATCAACGATGTGGCAGTACAGCCTCCGAAGTTCCCTCGTCATCGAGCCCTACGAGAAATCATTCCCGTTGCGGGAAACGCTCTTTGGAAGACAGCCGTCTGAGAATCCCCTGTCGCTCCTAAACGCCAGTCCTGGGACGTCAGCGTCGCAAGTCGACGTGGCTGTTGCGTCCTGACATCCCTGGACCGTGCCAGAACACAAATCTTGGGATTCCAACACCGCGAATGAAGGCGACGGCTGCTTTCTGACAGTCCTGAAGCTTGCAGGAACACCATTCCTGGGGCACCGACCATGCACATATTTGAAACTGATGCAAACTTGCAAAACAAATGCAGCAACATGTTGAACAAGAAGGGGCCGTCATCCTTGAAACTGCTGCAGCAGTTGAGACGCATTCGCGCGGCGTTCAGGCGAGAGCAACATCTCGAGAACCGCCCGCCCTCCACCAGTGAACTCGCTGCAAATTTTGAAACGGAATGTGCGCGGTGCTAAGGCGAGAGCCACAGTTTGAAAACAGTCTGCCCTCCATCCTTGAAGCTCTTGCACAATTAGAACCAATGTGCGCGGCGCTAAGGCGAGAGCCACATTTTGAAGACCACCCGCCTTCCATCCGTGAAGTTGCAAATTTCAAGTTTCAGGATCGTACATGGTGAGGCGGCCCGCCCTACCGACACGTCCTAGGGGCGCGACAGGAGGATTCATTTATAAGTTCAAGGGATGGAGGACGAGGAGGATGGCCAGGATTACCGCCCAAACAGAAGTCTGCAAGAGAGCAGGCGCAAACAGAGCGGGGGGAGCTCGGTCGCGCGGTCGAAAACGTCCACACAAAAACGGGCGTTGTCAGGGCACGACGACAGCAACACCACGTATGCACCTCCGTGCGGCCAGAAAGCTAAAAAGGTCGAACGTTCACCCTATTTCAGCAGGCCGGAAGGCCGCGATCGTGTCCTTCCTTGCAGCCTCAGTTCAGAGAGCGACGCATCCCATAGTTGCCGACCCGGTCGGGACCCTGGAACACCCACGACGAGCAGGCGGGCCACCCGGAGGAAAAGGAGGAGGACGAGGAGGAGGAGGAGGAAGGAGAATAACAAAATGAATAATAATAATATGAGGAATAAGGGGAAGAGGTGAAGGCGGAGCAGAAGGAGAAGAAGGAGGCGGAGGATGAGGAGGAGGAGCAGGAGGAGGGAGAGGAGGAGGAGGAGGAGGAGGAGGAGCAGTGAAGAGTAGAGGGAGCAGAAGGAGGAGGAGAAAGAGGGGGGGACGGTGGTGGCAAGGAGAGCGAGATCATGCAGACGAAGGTCGCCAACGTGCTGCAGGCTCACGCCGACGACTGCGCCGTGTTCATCGCCACGGTCGACGGCGAGAACGAGGTCCCTCGTCCTCGTTGTCCTTCTCGTCGTCCTCCCTCCTCCAACTCCTCCCCAGACGTGCTCGCGCCGCAGCAGAAGCAGCCACGACGGGAGTTCTGCCCGCCGCCTTCGGCCCTCGGGGGGCCCCCTGCCAGGCCTCGGGGGTGTCGAGCAACGAGTCTGGGAGGACAGGCAGGCCTGGAGGAAGGAGTCGGGGCTTCCAGGAGGAGGAGGAGGAGGAGGAGGAGGAGGAGGAGGAGGAGGAGGAGGAGGACGAGGGGGGGAGTGGAGGAGGGAGACAAAAGTCAGGGCGTCGCATATCCGGGTCCAGCCGAGGGCAACGGCGTGCTCAGCCGGGACGACGTCCTGGGTTTCCTCAGGCCGCGGTGGGAGGATCCCGTCGACGAGTTCCCGGAGGAGGCGGTCACAGGTGGCGCGGGGTGCTGACTGTCCCGGCCTGGCTTGCACCGATCCTGAGACTGGATGGGCCTGGCCAGGACACTTCGATCCGATCGATGCGATGCGATGCCGATTCTGGCGGGTCAGATCCGATCGGGTTCCGATGTGCCTGGCGCAGCCGATCCGGTTCGATGGTGATTCCGTGCCGATGCAGCTCGATCCGATGCACATTTCGTTTCGATCCAGTTTGCCGATTCGCCTGGCATCGCTCGGACGTGTGCCTTTTTCGTTCGGCGAGGACCATCGAGGAGCATCCGTGATCATGTGGCGAAAAAACCACGCACGAAACCGAAAAAAACACAGGGAATGGACGTCCGAGCGATGGCCAGTTCGATGCTGACCTATCCTGGGCCAGGATGCGTGCAGGTGGATAGTTGGCGTTGTCCTGAGGTTGGCTCAGCCAGCTTGCGGGCTCGAACGACGGGGTAGCACGGGAGGCCCTCCTGAGGCCGCAGCGCGTGCGGTATCGGGTGGAGAAGAACGTTGCGTTGACGGACGGGCTGAACGTGAAGGAGAGCACCGTATTGCGGCGCTTGAGACCTGGCGAGTTTGTTTTTCTTTTGGATAGCCCGATATTGGAGGATGTCTTTCAGGTGATCAGAATCAAGGTCCGCACATCGACTGACGCGGCCGTCGGATACGTTACCATCAAAGGTAATTTGGGCACGACGTACATTCAGTCACAGCATGGGGCCGCCGACCGATCAGACGCTCAGGTGGCATCGTGACGTCGAAAACTACCACTTCTTACTTCTCCTCATCCTCCTCCCCCTCCTCCTCCTCCTCCTACGACCTCGTCTTCCTCTTGATCCGTCCTCCCTCAATTTTCCTCCCTCCACCGTCCTCCTCCTCCCCCTCCTCCTCATCCTCCTTCTCGTCCTCAAGTGTCTCTCCTCATCTCCATTCCTCCCTCTCTTTTCTTGATGCCCCCCTTCCTGCCCCTGCTATTTTCCCTCACCTTCTGCAGGTTCACTGTCCGTGCTGCCATCCCTGCTCGCCTCCTGCTGGGCTGCGGCCCCTCAGGCGCAACCAACCCGTGGACCCTGAGCATTGAGCCCTTTTCCTCATCCCGTTCCTGCCCTTGCCGCGACGCGCCCAGAATCCAGCAAGGCATGAGGGTGCAAGCCCGACTTGTCTGGCTGATGCTCTGGGGGGGGCCGGGCCTGTGCTCGGGGGAGGCTGCAGCACCGCTCAACGATGTGTTGTTTCACCGAACCTGCGTGGTGGGCCTCTTCTCTCTGCTCGGTTGCAGCGGGGCCTCGTCAGGCCCCCATGCTGACGCCCGCGCGCCTGCTCGTGCCGCGACCACTTCCGCCGGTGTGAAGTTGAACAGCTCGGGGTCGCAGGTCTTACGCGCTGCAGCACTGCGCAAGGCCGTTTCTTCTCTATAGAAGTTTTCGCGCTCGTACATGGCCATCAGCTGATTACCATCACCGGCCAGGCTGCTGTCACTTCATGTGGCCCCCTCGCGCGCTTGACGTTTCCCCCTCTGTGCCCGAGATATTGCTTCGGCGTTCGTGGCGTGACTTGCCCCCCCCCAGATACACACGCATGGGGCTGGGCAGTTTCAGGTCTGCACGTGTCAGTGCACTTAAAGGAAGGCACATGCGAGGCCCATGTGAGACTGCGAGGCCAGAAGCACACACACACACACGCGTATGTATGTATGTATGTATGTATGTATGTATGCATGCATGCATGCATGCATGCATGTATGTATGTATGTATGTATGTATGTATGTATGTATGTATGTATGTATGTATGTATGTATGTATGTATGTGTGTGTATGTATGTATGTATGTATGTATGTATGTATGTATGTATGTATGTATGTATGTATGTATGTATGTATGTATGTATGTATGTATGTATATATATAGGTCTGTTTGTCTGTCTGTCTGTTTGTCTGTCTGTATGTCTGTCTGTCTGTCTGTCTGTCTGTCTGTCTGTATGTATGTATGTATGTATGTATGTATGTATGTATGTATGTATGTATGTATGTATGTATGTACGTATGTACATATGTATGGATGTATATATCGTATATGTACATCTGGGTAGGCCCCGGGTAGGTGCAAAATCGGTGCCTCCGAGGGCATGGGCGCCCGGCGGGCCTCCGCGCTTCAAACAGGCCCTCCAGGGGGCCCAGAGGGCACCATAAGGGGCCCTCAAGGGGACCAGAAAGCACCACAGCGCTCCCAGCACACCGACCATTTCTACGAAACGGCTCACGTGGCCTCCACGACGCCCCAAGAGAGCTTCCAGCTGATCCCCGGGAGAGGCTCCAGGAGCGAAAATCTGTGATTTCACTGCGGCTATTTTTCGGCATCTTCGTGTGCTCGCCTGCTCCGCTGCCCGACGCCCGGAGACGGCACAGAAGGCATCCAAGAGGGCCCCAAGACACCCGAAGAGGGCGCGAAGACGGCCCAAGAGGCGCCCCAAATCGCCCAAGAGGGCTCCGGGCGGCCCCCCAAACGAGCTCGGACACGTCACAAGGGCCCTGCACGAGGCCCTCGGGGCTCCAAAACGGCCCTGGCACGCCCATCATTGCTCAGATGCGGGCCCAGGCTGCCTCCGAGGCGCACCAAGAGGGCTTCCGGCTCATCCCCGAGACAGGCTCCAGGGGCGAAAATCATTGATTTCCAGATGACTTCTTTTGAAGGGTTTTCGTGTGGTCGCCTGCTCCGTTGCCCCAGGAAACAGCACAAGACCCGCCTAAGAGGGTCCCAAGACACCCGAAGCCCCTCCACTCATTCCCCTCACCTCGCCCCCTCCCTCTCCCTCCCCCCTATCGCACCGCTTGAATCTCTCAAGTGCGTTGTGAAAGCCTACCGTTTCTACCGCAGGCGGCATGCCGACATAGAGAGAGGTGCTGGGAGGAGTTGTTGTTCGACGCTGCGCCTCCCCCCATACCACCCGTCGTGGATGGATGCGTCGGCAACGGAGACAGGACAGAGAGAAGGAAGGACGACACAGACGAGGGGGAGTAGGAGGAGGTCGGGGAGGAGGTCGGGGAGGAGGAGGAGGAGGACATGGAGGAGGAGGAGGAGGAGGAGGAGGAGGAGGAGGAGGAGGAGGAGGAGGAGGAGGACGATGGGGAGGAAGGAGGAGAGGAGGAGGAGGAGGAGGAGGGAGGAGAAGGGGAGGAGGAGGAGGGGGAGGAAGAGGGGGGAGGAGAGGGGAATAACGCTTCAGCCTTGTCGTCGAAGTCCGACCAACGTACAAGGAAGAGGAGGAGGAGGAGGAGGAGGAGGAGGAGGAGGAAGAGGAGGAGGAGGAGGAGGAGGAGGAGGACCTCCCCTTCCCCTTTCCTGCCCCGGCCCCCCCCCTCGCGCTCCCGTCTCCCTGCCCCCGCTCGCTCCCCCCCCCACCCGTCTCGCCGGCGGCGCGCCCGGAGGTGAGCATGCTGAAGAACATGGACCACCACAGGAGGGCACCGTCTGCTCTCGGGGTGCCTCCGCCTGGGCTCTGCGCCGGGCGATCGCGCGGCCCCGATGGGTGGCACGCACCGCCTCGCCCGCCGCTTCCTGCCCCTCCCCCCCCCCCCCTCCGCCGTGGCCAATTTGGCCCAAGCATCTTGTGAGCTCCTGCTGGAAGCATCTTCCATTATGGTTTCTCGCACCTGCAGAGGCTTGCGCGGGTCAACTGGGGCATCTCCAGAGCCTGCACGTGCCTGTGCGCAGTCGCAGTGAGAATGAGCGGCCCCGGGAAGTTGAAGGCTAATGGCAATGGCGCCGATCTGCACGAACGAGATAGGCACGGAAAGAATGGGTACAATGCCCAACAGCAGTTCCTGTTCATTTTGCACAGGAGTCGCTGTCCGCGCCGCCGCGGCCTGTGTCCATTCGAGTGAGAAGGCCGTCTGCCCAACAGCGGCCGCTGTTGGTTTGGGACAACATTTGTTGTTGGGCATTGTGCCCATTCTTTCGGTACCCATTTCGGGTGTCCAAAGCCGAGGCACCGGACCACAAGAGTGCCCGTGCGTTCGAGAGAGACGAAGACATGACAGTGGACGAGTCCGCTCCCGGGTGGGACCAGAGCATACAAAGGATGATGATCACGATATGGGGGAAGGTCGACGACGCGGCCACCGACGTAAAGGAGGCAAAGGAAATGGCTGAGGAGGCGAAGGATGAGGCGATGGAGGCCAAAATGTCGGTCGCCACAGTGATCGCAGATATGGAAGACGTGAGAAATGTGCATGATTCAGAGATTTCGAAATCAATGACCACCGTTTCGCAACGGGTTTGGGATCGAAAATGCGTGAGAACTAACAACCAAAGATTTATTCAATGCTTTACAGTTGTATTCCTTGTTTGCAGCATTCGTTCTGATTGTTTATTGTATTCTTGTTTACTTCGTTTTATTACTGTCATGCGTTTCATTAGTTGTGCGAGAATTTTAATAATATCGATCAGCTGTTTTTTCCAATAATCGTTCTGTGCAACTTCTTCCTGCACTCATTCCCAACTGTCCGGAGGTGCGGCGTCACCGATTTGAGTCCGCAGGGCTGGCGCGCGAAAGGGGCAGCGGGGGCGCGCTTAGATAGTGGTCGCCACCCGGGGGGGTCGCGCCAGGGCGTGATCGCCATCGTATGTGCACGAGCGCCAGGCGATCGCTTGCGAACGCAGCAGTGGTGCGCGATTCGACCACGCGTGCAAGCCTGGGAGCACCGGCGTGGCACTCGCGAGCACCGCAGCGGCCTGCGACCGACCACGATGCGCTTCGCCGCTGCCACGACAACGACGACGACGACCGACAGCGACAGCACGACAACGACGACGGGGAGGAGGAGGAGGAGGAGGAGGAGGAGGAGGAGGAGGAGGAGGAGGAGGAGGAGGAGGAGGAGGAGGAGAGGAGGAGGAGGAGGAGGAGGAGGAGGAAGAGGATGACGACGACGACGACGACGACGAGGGCGACAAGGACGACGACGACAGCGTGCCCCACAGCGCCTGCGTGCACCACACCGCCTGCGTGCGCCACAATGCCTCACTTCCGTCGCCGTCGTCGTCGTCGTCGTCGCGCTGGGCCTGGGGGGGTCGTCGGAGCCAAAGATCGAATCCGAGAAAGGCGTTCGAAAACTATTGGGTTTTAATTGACCTCCGTATCGATTCGTGGCGGCGACAACGACCACGACGATAACGACGACGACGAAGAGGACGTACGACGGCGAACGGCGGCCGCGGCGGCGACCAGCGAAGGGTGGCGGCGGCGGCGACGACGATGCCCCAGAGACAGCGGCGGCCACCCAGCCTGGCCGAACATCAGTCGACATGGGCCCTTGGATCCTTGCGGAGGTCCAGACCGTCCAGTTGTTCGACCCGCGCTCAGCCGTGGCGACGGGGAAGGCCGGCGAAGGCCAGAAAACCGCCGATGTTTCAGACGGTCTTCCACCGACCCGCGCACGCGGGCGGGAATGCAATCCCCGCCGCCTTCTGAATAGTTAGTAGGGCGCCTTGGCAGTGAGTAATCCTATCTCCCCTCCTCGCCATCAGCATCATCACTATCGACATAATATCGTCTCCACGCCCGCCGGACCTTCGCGCACAGCAACAGGTTGCAAACGCGACAGCGCGCATGTGAGCACCGAGACATGCCTTCTCAGCACCGCGCCATACCTATACGATCGGCGAAGCAACAGCGGGGAGCCCGCGAGCGCCACAGCACGCTGGCGCGCTCCAAAGCATGCGTTTCAGCACCACGCCGTGCCTGTGAGCACGGCGCCATACCTGCGGGGGGCGCGCCCCCCAGCGCGCCGATCGGGGGGGGTGCAAGGCCACCCGCCCCTCCCCCAGGTACGATCGTTACCGTTGCCAGAGGGGGGGGGGGCCTGGGAAGCGAGCGCAATCTGCCACGGGGAAGGAAAGCAATTCCTGGCGAGGGGCCCAATCATACGCAGTTGTGAGCATCGCGCCGCTGTGGGCATCGCCTTCGGTGGATCTACTTGTGAGGCCGCAAGGCGTGTAAAGGGCGTGCCGAGATTGGACGGGGGGGGCGCATGCGGGCGCAGCCATTGTGACCTTCGGTGGCGGTCCATTAGGGGGCAAGAAAATTTTGAGGGGCGGGCTGGAATGGAGCGGGGCCGCCATGCGAAGGTCGCCATTGGGGCCTTCAATGGAGCTCCCAATGGAGCCAAGAGACGCGCGAGAGGTATGCCGAAATGGGCGGGGGGAACGCATGCGAACGTCGCCACTGGGGCCTTCGGTGGGGCCCCCTACGGGGCCACGAAACACGTGAGGGGTGTGCCGAAATTGGCGGGGGGAGACGCATGTGCTCACAACCAGTGAGACCTTCGGTGGGGCTCCCCATGGGGCCACGAAGCGCCGTCCCGGGTGGCGCGGAACGCATGTTGTCACAGCCACTGGGCCCTTCGGTGAAGCTCCCGATCGGGTCATTAAGCGCCGTGCCGGGTGGCGCGGGCCAATGGTGATTTCGGTGGGGCTCCCCATGGGGCCACGAAACACATTACTGGGTGGCGCGGGACGCATGTGGTCACAACCACAATGGCGTTCGGTGGAGCTCCTTGTAGGGCCACGAAACGCCATAATGCGTGGCGCGGGACGCATGTGGTCACAGCGCAGCCACTGGGGCCTTCGGTGGAGCTCCTTCTTTGGCCACGAAGCGCTGTGCTGGGTGGCGCGGGACGCATGTGGTCACAGCCACTGCGGCCTTCGGTGGAGTTCCTTATGGGTCCACGAAGCGCCGTAATTATTGGGTGGCGCGGGAGCATGTGGTCACAGCCATTGGGGCTTTCAGTCGGTTTCCCTCTGGGGCCATGAAGCGCCGTGCTGGGTGGCGCGGGAGGCATGTGGCCACAGCAATTGGGGCTTTCGGTGGAGTTCCCTTTTGGGCCGCGAAGCGCCGTGCTGGGTGGCGCAGGACGCACGTTGTCACAGCCTGTGGGGCCTTGAATGGAGTTCCTCATGGGGCCACGAAGCGCCGTGCTGGCTGCCGCGGGACGCGTGTGGACACAGCCACTGGGACCGTCGGTGGAGCTCCCTCTCTAGCCACGAAGCGCAGTGTTGGGTGGCGCAGGACGCATGTGGTCACAGCCATTGGGGCTTTCGGTCGGTGTCCCTCTGGGGCCACGAAGCGCCGTGCTGGGGGCGCGGGACACATGTGGTCACAGCAACTGGGGCCTTCGGTGGGGCTCCCAATGGGGCCACGAAGCACATTACTGGTTGGCGCGGGACGCATGTGGTCACAGCCACTGGGGTTTTCGGTCGGTTTCCTTCTGGGGCCACGAAGCGCCGTACTGGGTGGCGCGGGACGTATGTGGTCACAGCCACTGCGGCTTTCGGTAGAGCTCCCTCTCTGGCCACGAAGCGCCGTGCAGGACGCATGTTGTCACAGCCGGTGGGGCCTTCGGTGGAGTTCCTCAGGGGGCCACGGAGCGCCGCATTAGGAATGGTGGGCATGGTGGGAGGAGGAGAGGGAGGAGGAAGGAGGAGAGGAGAGGAAAGAAGAAGAGAGGAGAGGAGAGGAGAGGAGACGCGGGACGCTGTCTTTTCAAAACGAGGACCCAACACCACAAGATGGTTGGGAACAGTTATGTGGCGGCGTGCGAAGACGGGCGCGGTTGGGTCTGGGAACCGCGACTGGCGCGGCCTACCGCCTGCCAGACGGCTCCGGGCTGCAGCAGGCGCCGCGGCGTGCGGGTCCGGTGCCAGCGCCCTGGTCGGCATCCAACAGCAAGGCGGCTGCGCCCGGGCGGGGCCGGGGGGGCTCCGGGGGGGCCCGGGCCGGCCCGGGAAATCTGGGCGGGCCCGGAGGAAGGGGGTCTCGGGCCCAAGGGGGCCTCGGGTCAGGGGG